TTTTTTTTTTTTCAACAATCATGAATCATTTGTATCTTAGCTGATCCAGTATTTTATCGAACAAGCTACAGTGAAACAGCTCCCAACATTCCTGAAGGAGCTCAACTTCTAAAAAAAAATTCCTGCAACGTTATATGGAAAATTCCAACCCATATGGGGTGTGGAACAGAAAACAACTAAGCGTGCTAAGGAAAATATAACACTCGAAGAAAACGGCATGAATCCGTACAACAAGAAATTTAGAGCAATGTTCCTTAGCAACCGTGCTGCTTCCTATATGAAACTCTTCCGATGGGAACTTGCCATCGAGGACTGTACAAAAGCCATTGAACTAGGTAAGACTCCAAATGACAACAGTAAGTTATAACACACTTTAATGTCTTTAACTTTTCACCCAAATTTACCCCAGCGATTATATTACAGGTGCTCCCAATGACAAACCTTTAGAAAGGCGTGCAACAGCACACTCAATGATTCCAGAAAACTTAAAATATGCGTTAGAAGACTACACGACTTTAGCACAAAAATATCCAGAAAGATCGTTCTATAAAGAAAGAATAAATTCCCTAAAAGAACAAATGGCTCGGAGACCTGAGGAGCGACCAAAGGTTCTTTTTCACTAAACCTTTAAAAAATGGCAAAAACATATTTTGCTTTGGAGGTTATGATGCCCCAAGATCGAGTGTTTCACATACGCTTTTATCTTTCGTTTTAAATTAATAGAAAGAACACAAATCAACATTAAAGTAATGTTCTTAATCCAAATTGTTTGCAAATATAACTGTTAAAGGCAAATTTGAGTTCCTGCAACGTGATAGTCTTCAATGTTTTCCAAAAGCGACTAATTTTTGTAGGAACTTTTCGAGTGGCTGAAGAAAGCTCTAGATGAAAAAGTCATTGAGCCAACTCTGAAAGCTTTAAGTGCAAGTGCTCAGTATGCCGGCATTACGTGCGGAACTGCAATCAGGAGGCTGTTCTTATAAATTTATTTGGATCAAATAAATGGCTTACACATTTTTATTCCTTCATTATCTTACTTCTTGAAACTGAGGCAAAGAAGGATTTTCTACAGTGATCGGACTAGGAAATTTTTTTCGTGTTTTTGAGTTGCCATTCCTCACAAAAAGATAAGACCTATTTCACTTAATACATCGAGAGATACGCAAGGGTTAGCAGCCTTTGGCTAAACCATGGAGTTGTGTGAACGGATGTGAATGTGACAGAAGCTTTCCAAAACTGCACAAAACATATCAGCCGCCTCGGGGAAGAAAAAAAAAGTACTCTAAAATATTTACTTTCAATCAATCGTTGTAGGCACGTGTTCCCAGTAAGCAGATAGGGAAAAAACTGTCCGCAGTTTGGCACAGCGTCACCAGTACGATCTCCAGTTAAAAGGGTTGATCTCAAAGTTCTCTCTCCCAAAGCTATCGCGATACTTGGCCCCAATGTCGGGTACCCATTTGTCCCAAAATAGTGGGGCATCGTAATCCGACCTATGACGCCACATCAAATCATTCATCTTACGCCGTCTTGTAGAGTGAACGTATGCTTCCTAAAACCAAAATTCACCCGTCGCATCAAAAATGTAGAAAAAAAAGACCAACCAATTAAAAAAGGAGAAAAATCAATGAAAACTGCAATAAGACTTACAAAGTGGCAAGGGTCCCACCATTTGTCACCTAAAGTGAAGTAGACAGGTTCACCGTACCAGGTACCTGTTTTCCAACCAGGAACGTCTTTCATCACCTCATTCTCAATGTCCCGATTTTTCTTCAAAAATTTCAACCACCTAAAAACTGCTTCCAAGTTAAAATAAAAGTTTAAACGGCTTTAATGTTCCTACTTTTCTAAAAATTGTCCTCAGAACTAATCCAGTTTATTGTAGAGCGAAGACTACAAAGGCAAAGCAAACAGCTTAAGCAAAACTAAACTGAACAAAAAAAATATCAAACTGCTCTTCCTTAACACAGTTAGAAGAAATAAAGGAAAAACAAAGGGGGGGGGGAGGGGGAAAAAAATAATAAGAGAATGGAGTTAACGAGCTGCTGTATAACAAAGGCCGTGAGCCACCAATGTTTCACCGCTTTTCTATGCAGTTTTCGGGTCCCAAAATTGTAAAACTTCTCCTCCTGTTCTTTAGCAAAAGGAAGAGGTGCACAGTCAAAACAAGAGTTGCAGGAAAAAAAAAACAAGCTGAGAGGAAAAGAACGGAAAAAAAAGGAGAACAAAAAAGCAAGAAAATTTGATCATTCTCCGCCGCTTCTCAAAATAACAATGTGCTAAACTCCGTCCAACATTAAAACAGCACCTGGTCAGTAAGTACACCCTTCCTTAACTTGAGCAAATCCCCAACACAATCATCCCAAAAATTTTCAATTCATTTACGGCCTCAACCATATTATATAAATTAGAATTTTGTGGAACTCCACGTGTTAATTGTAACGCGGCCGCTTGGAAAGCAAAAAACGAGTAAACAAATAAGGCGCGGTAGTTAGTCCTTGAAACAAACAATATTGCTCCTGGGAGGTTGCTGCAGGTGTTAAACAGACAATGAAAGTTTAAAGTAGCAGTTTAGCAACCAGAGATTTAAAGCTACTTTTAATGCTATAGTCAACTTTGAGGTGCCCTATCAGGCGAGACGACCACGTGGGAAATAATGGTAAATTTTTTTCTTTAATATGAGGTGACTAACTAAAAAAAATTGAGTAATACTGAGGCTTTAGTTGCACGTGCAAGTGCCAGCTTTTCAGTCTGGCTTCTCGGTGCGTAAGCTTAAAAAACTAGCAATCAGCTATGTTAAGGAACTACCAGTTTCGTTATATTTCCTTAGACACTTATTGTCATTTGGCAGCCTCTAATTTGGGTTATACC